GCGCCAAGCACTGCCGGGCGTGCCGGCGATGCTGGGTCCTCGCTCTACAAAACGCTGTAAATCCTGTCAAAAACTGCTGTGCTGAGCGGTGGGCTGTTGTTCTGTCCGTTTTGCTTTTGCTGTGGCTGGCTCGCGTGCTGCGCGGTCCTTGCTTTTTTCGCGTTGGTTTTGGGGCCTTCTGGCGCGCGCGCGCGACCCCAGCCACAAAACGCTGCTCTTTACGGTGTTTTGTTGCTTTTGCGGTTCCGGGCTGGCTTGCGGGCTGTTCTTTTTGGGCTGCTGTTTCTGCGGCCTCTGGCGCGCGTTCTGGTTTGGGTCCTGGCTAGGGCCCAGAAAGCTGGCATCCCCGGCATCATCTGGGGTTGGGGTGGGCAATATGCATAACCTAACCAGCCATATCATAGCACAGGATACGTTTCTCATACAAAAAGAACATGACATGACATGGTATAACTTCAAAGAGGCGTAGCCGGCTAGAGGCCGCAGGCCCAGAAAATAAACCACCAAGGCTCTAAGATGTCTGGTGCCTACCTTTTGCAATTCCTCGCGGCGTTGATTCATCGCCGCCAAGACAAGAGTTCCTGGCTGCTGCCATTTGTGGTCGCACTACTTGCCTCAGGGCATATGGGAGTATTCGCATTGCACGATGCGCATCTCGAAAGCAGCCGACCCCATTGCGAGTGTCAGGCGAATCCTGCCTTGCGCTGCGGAAGCGGCCTCGAGGGCAATGCTACTAGCGACCCTCAGCATGAGTCATCAACAGCTGGGGACCAAAGGGGTCCGCCCCCAGAACAATGTAAAGAGTAAAAAGGGCGGCAGCGCCTATTTTCCTATTGTAAGCTTAGGCATTCACCCCTCAGGATTCTTAATACTTACATGAGCCACAATCAAAACTCGGGTAGATGAAGGTTAGATCATGATCAACAGCTGAAACCCTAAGTTAAGAATCGTCGACAAACCAGCCACAAATTCTGGCAGCACGCAGCAAGACTTCTCTGCTTGCAATGCGTAGCTGGAATCAATTGCATTTCCTCTGCGGTGACTCCCAATCCTTTCGCTGGGTCCGGTTGGGGCTGAAGCTGGAGAAAGCTCGAGATTTGGATGAGGCTTCGAATGGCATTTCCAGGGAATGGACGAAAGCTCCATTGGTGCCAGTGCTACCCCTCGCAGCCCTGACGCCGGTCGAAAAAACCGGAGAAGTGGGAACCTATCGGGCAACGAGTCGCCTGCAGGTAGCAATTCTTCCAGCTGAACCGTTTAAGCCTCCGCTCAGCCTTCGTAACGCCCGTCTCAAGTCCACTTCCAGCCAGGGCTTGCTTACTGGGCCAGGTCCCCTGGCATGTCGGGCGGCCAGGCCCAGCTAATGTCCACCTCAGCAGCTGGGTGCTTGAAAAGGAGGACCCTCTGTGGCTTCCTTCTAGGCGTCCCTTCCCTGCATCCACAAAACGAAGGCTCCCTACACCCATTTCAGCGGTCAAGGTGCCATCTGAACATTGCTCAATCTGATAGCATGTCAACGCGGGTGCGTCAACTCTTCCTCAGTATCCCCCCCAGGACACAACGCGCTGTGCTGTCCGCCACGAGTCTACCTCCTACGCTTGCCGGATTCAGCTGCCGTGCTTGTTTCTGCGTTTCCCTTCCATGAAAAATAAACCGTGTCTGACGCAGGGAAGTGACCAAGGCGCACAAACGCAATCCTTGCAAAACCGGTCTGCGTTTCCTCTGCCCACAGCCCCCTCTCAAGGCTTGCCGTCAAGAGCCGCACCTCTCTTTCTCAGTCGGGCCATGCAAGGCCGTCCGTCAGCGTCAGTTCCAAACCACCACATCCAAACCGTCAATCATGTTAGCCTCAAATCCTCGAAAACGGCGGCACTCAGAAATGCCAGAGACCAACGAAGGGGAGTATCTTGCGAGAGGGTTCCCCCGGGAACCCCCCCGGTTCGAGTGCCGGCTGGGACTGTCTCCAAATCTGGGAATCCCCATGAGCGGCGTTGTTTGGTTTCCATTTTGAAGACTAGCAGTGACTAGCCGTGACCTCCATGTGGGGCTCTTTACAGCGACCCCGGTAATCAAAGGGCTCGACCAAGCAATGAACGGGTGCCAATTAGGGGAGAGCAACAGAGTCAACACCTGGCACCAAACGGGTCTAATGTTGACCCCCTATTAATCAACCCCAGTTTATTAATAGGGGGGTGTTCCCGTCCAAAAGTGAACAATCCCCACTAAAACCATATCAATAAACAGGTGTTGAAAAATAGGGGGTGTTCATTAATTTCCCACACCCCACGTGACGAATCACAAGGCCGCGCCTGTTTCTGCTGGCTCAACTCGAGAGTCACCAGATGCTTTCTCCGGTATTATGCGAGCAAAACGATCGACCTCCGCTATGGATCCTTGCAAACATCGGAATCGCGAGATGTTTCAAGGAACAAAAAACACAAACAAAAACATGCAAGGTGAAGTGGACAGCGGTTCCTTTTTTTTCCCGTGGGCCATCGGTGTGACTCATTCATCACTTCGGCCGCACGTTCCACCATGACCAATGGTCTGCTGTAGCACGGAGTGCTGGCCCGCAGGACACCTTGATCAGGCGTTCCTTCATTCAGAACGTTGCCAGCGGCCGGTTGCCGGCAGGGCGTGCTGCCAAATCAACAGTTCCAAGATCTGCTTATCATTTTTATGGTCAAACGTTGTGGATGTGGCCAACCCCAAAAATCGAAGCATTATCATTAGACTCCTCAAATGTGTGTTTCAGGGCCTTTGCAGAGGGAAAGTTTCAAAAAGCAAACAGTGGCGCACTAATCGATCCAGGTGCAGCTGTCTGGGCAGGCGCCATCTCAACCAAAAATAAACCGGAGACGTGTGCAAGAGAAAGTGTCAAACCTAGGGCACCCCGCACGAGTTGATGTCATGTTCTTTTGTCTTCACGGCGGGCTACGCGAATTTCCCTTCGAAGCAAACAAAGCGGTCGCTCTTTTAACCGAAGGGACTGCACCTCAATCCGCAGCCCTGCGAAAACAACTGCCCACCGCGCTGGGCAAGCATCCGGCTCTGAGCGCCGCCCTTTTGGGATGTGTCAGTTCCAAGGAAATCTCGGTTTATGGGTAGTCGGCCAAAAGTATCATTGCTGCGCATGGGACTCTACAGGGACGGTTTCAGAACGGTAATCCGGCCGTTTCAAAGAACTCCTACTTTCGACACCTGTCCATTTGTTCTGTACGGACACCCTGTTCTTGTCTTCTGTGTGGTTTAGAAAAACACCGGAACTTGAACAACAAAATCCAAAGAAGGAAGCTCAGTTGCCAAAGAAGGATAGTAGCCTCTTTTTTGGGTAGTGGTTTGGGGGTGGAAACCATCTGAAGGAAAGCAGAGTGACAAACTTGGGGGATTACCAGGTCCCAGACTTCCGCAATGACTTGTTAGCCCGTCAACAAGCCGAGTTATTGGAGGTTGTTAGAAGGGAACCAACACGGAACAAGCGGGTTTGCCCAGAACGGATTGTGGGTGCAGACCAACTAATCAAACGGCACCAAGCCACGTTGCAGGCCCCGTTTAAAGCCCACGGCTCCAAAAAAGAAACAACCAAACCAAACCTAACCAAACCGAACCAAACCCAACCAAACAAACAAACACCTATGATTCCTGCCAGGGGCAGACTTTGCTCTATGACAAACCTAGGAATGTGCCGCCCCAATCCGGGGGTGTTTCCTTTAGGGCTCGAGGTCTCGCACGCAACGGGGGCGCCCAGCACCTCCTTTGCGCCAGATGATTTCTACCTCCACGAGGTAGTGGAAACGATGAGTGCCCGGTCCAACTGCTCGAAGCAACACTCTGCCAGGAATCTTCAACAGGGATCCTTACATTATACACCTGAACACTGCCTTGTCAATGGTGGTTTCCCTTCATTTTTGCTGGAAAGAAGCCATGATTCAAATGGCCAAAATGTATCTTTTAAGGAGTCCTGTTCAAGTCGGCAACAAAAAATCATACCCAAGTGTTCAAGGTGTTTGGCTCGCCAACGGTCAGAAGAGCCCAATTTAAGGTATAGAAGTGTCACTTGCACCCGCCTTCACGTGCAGTGGTCGCATGTCTTCATCCACCAGGGTGGCCAGATTCGTAACAATCAAGTGCGCATCACATCAAGCTTCTCTGGCAAGCAGACAAGCCACCGCCACATTCTGAATCATTATGAGGACCATCAACATCCATGCAGTTGCATAAGGTTTGTTCTGATAGGCTGTCAGCATCTCTCAGCCTGTTTGGTGTGAGCTCTCTCATTTGGAAAAGAACACTTGAAAGTGATAAACATAAATACTCGTCAGTTCCAGTGGCAGCTCAATCTTGCACCTTGCTTGCTTGCTTGCTTGCTTGCTAGCTAGTTTCCTTCGTTCCTTGCTTGCTTGCTGGCTGGCTTGCTTGCATGCTTTCTTGCACCCGCGAACATCAAGACCATGAAGCGACCACAGCGCACAAACAACCCGACGAAAAATCCCCTTGCGTCGAGCAGGCTGCCATGCAGCAATGAGTGGGATTTTACAATGGCCGTCTAAAACAGAAGCAACGTATAGCCATCGAACACACCACGCTCATAAAGTCAGAGGCTTTAGCCCTGGCACGAATGGCTTTGGGCTGGTCGGAAGCCGGGCACGAGAAAGTATTGGATTCCAAGTGAGTCCAGTGGGCCAGCTGCAGCTAAACCAGGGCTGGCTCCTTTAGATGTTCTAGGTCCTCCAGTAGAGAGGTTAGAATAATACCCTTTCTTTCTGTAGTCGATTTTAGTAGGGGAACCCTCCCCCAAAAAAGGGTAGAAGGGCAGTACTGGGGGACCTAGTGTTCAATTGCTTTCAAGCCGACAAGTCAGCTTGGATTCCCAAACCCTGATTTGTGGAAGAGAGAGTGACACGAAAGCTTCAAGGTGTCGGGGTAAAGTGCACTTCGGATCAACAAAATGAATTCAAGGGGTGCTAAACGATCCGTGGGACCACTAAGGCAAGCTTCCATGAGCCGACCCCCAGCAGGTTGTCTGCAGTGGCAGCTGGATTCACTGGCTTTGCAAGCTCACCAAGCCTGCGGTGCCGACTGTTGAGCCTGGCGCGCGCATGAGCCCAGAGCTTGAGTGACCGTGTAATGTTTTTCTTTCAGGCTGCATGCATGTCAGACTTCAGCAAATACTGTGGATGGACGCAATCCGTTTCGCACCAAATTGACACCATTGGAAACCGGTGTCCGTGGGATTTACAGGGGGAATCTTATATGGCGGATTTCGTCCATCCACAGTATCATTGAATGAATATGGCCTATTGTCATATTCAAGTTGGCTTGGGCAAGCTGGAGTCTGGGTCTGGGGTGAACGCAATAATTGATGGCAAATCCGAGCGTGCCAAGCCTCAGGCTCGTTTGTCACGTGCCTTCGCATAGATGCACCCCTCTTGAAGCCTGATATTTCATTATCCCACAACCAAAGCTCACAAAGAGTTCGTAGGGCGCCCTTTGATTCAAAATCATGTGCCATGTGTCCCATGCCTAAGGGAAGGGTTGGTTCCTGCCGTGGCAAGCAAAGCATCTCCCAACAGTTCCTGCAACATTCAAGTCCACAAAGGTCAACATCTACTTCCGCTTGTGGTGTGCAAGAGCACGCGCTGCGTGGTGCTTTGACTGCTACTGTGTGCGAACAATCTTCCTAGTAGGACTTGTCAGAGCCAGGCCAAAACTCTGGTCCTCTAAGTGCCCTGTTGAAGACGGCAGTACATATTGATTGGGTGCAAAAGGGGGGGAGGGGAACTATCAACAATTGATGGCAACCTGACTCAGGCCGCGGACTCAACAAAACAAAATGCACCGGACCTAACTTAAGATGATGGCTGGACAATGACTTCAACGCACACGATCATCCACATGCAGCGTATATCAAGCTGGACCCGGGCTGTGAGCCTGAATCAGAAAGTTACAAGGAATCATCCACCTGGTGGTGCTTGATCAACACAATCAGCATCTCTCTGTTGTACGTGTATTTATGTGTATATATATATATACTATGACGGAGAAGACGCGGATATGTCTTCGGCACGTCGACACCTGCCAACCACTGGCTTGTGCATTCCTGCCAAACTCATACCAACAGGATCTGCCCTCGAGGCCACTGAAGGACTCAAACCCATCAGCCCGCTTCGGCGAGTCGTCTCATCTTGCTGGCGCGATAAGCAGGGAATGTCGGGATTGAACCCAGGCTTTGGTACCCTTCAGGAAACCTCCAGTTGGATGGGTTTTCTTGAGGTCATTCCAATTCTCATTACCTGCCTATCGCAGCAGCAAGTCATTGGATCAATGAGATTGCCGACAACTTGCTGTTTCCTCCGGGCTGCGATTCTTGAGAAGTCTACAGCAGTCCACAATAGGCTAAACAATCCGGTAGTTGGGAATAGCGACCCTGACAATCTTGCGCACACACAAGACATCTGAAATCAAATCATGTATCACGGATGTCTACTTGAAACTCTGCAAAGGCAGCAGCCTCGGTTTGATGGTCCGCAATGTTCCCACGATTTTGCTTGAGTCGCTGTGGTGGCTCACCGCAGTCATCCCCTCAGTACCCCCACTCCGCATCCCACACCCGCCGGGTAGAATTGGTGTGAGTCTCAGGAGCCTTTACAAAGCCTCTTTGCCCCTGGTCACAGGGTCCAGCGACAGAGGGCCAAGGTCTCGTTCGCTAACGGAATTCGCCCAAACAAATCACTCCACCAACTAAGAACGGATGCACCACCACCAGGATCAAGAAAGAGCTATCAATCTGCCCAACTGACAATTTGCAGCTTCCGACGGTTCCATCCGGTTGCCTCAATCCTCGCTGAAGCCGCTGAGGGAGTCCAGGTCGCTCTCGGTGTATTCCGTTTCGGGTACCTCTGCTGCGAAATGGGCTTCCCAAAAAGGAAGGGCGAAGCCACTCGTGTCCACCTGGGGTTAAAGAACGCACCCGCAAAGCATCACCTGGCGAAGCCAAAATGAAAAAGTTCAGCTTCCCCGAACTCATGGTTTTCTGCACGTCTCTTGTGCAACAAGTGTCCAGAATCAACCCCGTGAAGAAGGCCGCAAATTTGAGCTCAAGACTTTATTTCAAGGGTCCCTGCAATGAAAGTCTTGTAGCCTGGCCCCCAATCATCTCAAAAGGAAGCGCCAGCCATACTAGATCAAATGGAAGCTCTAAATTGGCCCAGAGCGATACTTAGCAATATTGGATCGATCGCCCAGGGCCGGGGAGCTTTGTTCCAGGTACCTCCTTTGTTTGGGGGGCATCTCCCCTTTACCACTCCCAGGTCGCCATTGGCGTTTAACTCACTGGGGTACAACTGGGGTACAACTTCTCCAATAACTTTGGTTATGACCCAAGGTTGGCTGAAGATTTCACTTGGATTGGCCAAAGTCCCAACGGCATTGAGCTGAATGGTCCAAACCTGCAAGGTATCAAGTCCAGGACGGCAAGCGAAACGGGTCTAATTACCTGCTTTTCAGCATTGCTGATAGCAGACCCATGTCAGCTGCAGTCATC